GTTGATCCTCCTTTGGCTTGATCCTTGTAGTGTCTTTGTCTACCCTTTCCAATCCTATTCTTAATCTTCCCTCCTGCCCCTTCCTATTGTCAGGGTAGCCTATTTATGCAGTATTTATCCTTTTTTTTTTTGTTTTAGTATTTATCCTTTTGTGACCGAGTTATTTCCCTCATAATACTCTCTAGATTCTCTCATTTTGGGTCATACGTTATCAATCCTTTGTTGTTCTTTAGTGCTGCATAGTATTCCATATGTATACCAGAGTTTCTCTACCCATTCATTTGTTGATGGGCATTTAGATTGTTTCCACTTTCTTGCTATTGTGAATAACACTGCTATGAATATAGGTAAACATATCTCTATTCATGTATCAGTTCTGATTTCCTTGAGGTATGAGGTATATTTCTCGCAGTGGCATAACTGGGTCATGTGGGATTTCTACGTTCATCTCTTTAAAGAAATGCCAAGCTGCCTTTCCTAGTAACTGAGCCATTTTACAATTCCAGCAGCAGTTCACAGAGTTCCAATCTCTCTGCATCCTCATCAGTGTACTGTTTGCTGTCCAGTTAAACCTGGCTACTGCTACTGGGTTGAGGGAGCTTGATGGCCTAATGGTAAGAAGTTGCACTGCCAATCTGAAGGCACACGGTTTGAATTCACCAACTGCTCTGTGGGAGAAAGACGGGCAATAACCTGCCATGTGATTTACTGCCTCTGAAAACCCTCTGGAGGGTCAGTTATGGGTCAGTTCCAACTCATAAATATACAACCAACAACAATTGCTTGTTTTATTTGCATGTCTGATTGCCAGTGATTTTGAACGTTTCTTCACATATTTGTTGACCATTTGACTGTTCTCCTTCATGAAGAGTCTTTTCATGCCTTTTTCCCATTTTATCATTAGATTATCGGTCTTTTTCTTTTGGAGGCCCTTTATTATAGTATAAACCTTAGTTATGGATCCTTGGCTGAAATGTCATTGCCAAGGTTTTTTCCCCCTCTAGTCTATAGGCTTTATTCTCACACTGTTGGCAAACGTTTTTGATGCTCACAGGGATTTGAGTTTTAGAAGGTCTCATTTGACAATTTTACCTTCTCCTGGGTCTGCATTTTTTTGGCTATATTTACAAGGCTATTTATGCTGTAGGCTGGGGCTCTGAGTGTCACAGCAACATTATTATAGCATTACAGCAACATGCAAGTCCTCACAATGACGGACAGGTGGTGGTCTTCCCCCATAACTGGAGGTTTTCTTCTCTCTCGGGGGCTCTGGTAACAACGTCCCTTTCAATAACCTGGTTTGGACAAGTTTGGGCAGGAGAGAAGAAAAGAGTGGCTCTCAGCATGAGGCGGGCAAGGTTCTGATCAATGACCAGCAGCTCTGACCAGCTATGGAGGGGCCAGATGGGCATCACACTGTGTCCCGGAAGCACTTACTCAGGAAAACTCGAGTTTAAAATGTCTTTTTTTTGCTAAGAGACCAATGAGAAAGAGCAACTGCAAAAAAGGGTCACAGGCAACCTGGGGATGTCCACACCTGGGGGTTACTTCTGATGAGGGGCTTTGTGTTTATTTTTGCTTTTATCTCCACCCTCCATTCCTTGCGTCCTTCATTTCCTGGAATATTCTTCAGCCTCCTCTCATCTGACCCATGCCTCCTTTTTCAGGACTTGCTCAAACCAGAACATTTCCTGGCCTTTCCCCAACCTTACCTTAACCCCGGGCCAAATTCTTTGCTAGATGCTTTGCACGTTAGTACTTCTCCTGCAAAGCACAGGCCACGATTGCCATTTTCTAGGTAACTGCCTCACATATGCTGGTGGGTGGCCTGTCTTTCCCGCAGGTATGAGCCGGGTGTGCTTTTACTGCTGTATCTTTGGGGTTAGCATGCATGAGCTGGCATAGAGAAGGGGATGAATGAGTAAGTGAATGAATGAGTGAGTGAATGATCGAGTGAGTCAGTGAGTGAATGAATGAGTTGATTTCCCATTTTTTCCCTGATTGCTGTCCCTTATTGTTTTCTCATTCACATTCAACTGTCCTAAAAAAGGCCAGTCCCTGCTTGGAAGAACCATATGCCTTTAGTGCCCCTCACCCCATGCACCTTTTGTTTTATTTAAGTGTGTGTGTGTGTGTGTGTGTGTGTGTGTGTGTGTGTGTGTGATGCCCTGTACATTTTGGATTTACTCATCGCTACAGATGTTCTTTACGTTCCTTGTATTTTCAGGACCTGGCACAGTCTGGCCTGAATCCGGACTTTTCCTTTTCCTGTGGGTAGAAGCTCCCTGTAAGCAGAGACTTGGCCTCACCAGAGCCAGACGAAACACCTTGTAGAATGCAGGGTTGACCGGAGCTGTGGCTGAGGCCTGCCCTCTTCCTGAAGGATGTCCACAGTGGGAAGCCCTGATTCCAGAGTTTCCAGAAGAGGAATTCCTGATCCCCATGGGTATTATTTCCTTGCCAACTGATTGGCTGGAGATTTGAATCTTCCAAGATGTACCTCAGAAAAAGGCTTGGCAGTCTACTTCCAAAATGCAGTCTTTGGTGGACATTTGACTGGACTTTGGATGTGTCCTTTCACAGTTTATATTTCTAGGGATGTTGTTGTCATGCTGTTACGTGCTGTCAAGTCTGAACTGATTTGTAGCTGACCCTCCAGCGGGTTTTCAGAGGCTGTAGATCCCACAGGAGGAGGCTGCCTTTCTTTCTTCTGAGGCGCAGCTGGTGGGGGATCCGAACCATGTGCCTTTGGGTTAGCAGCCCAACTCCTTACCACAGGGCTATTTCTGGGGAATGGGGAAGGGGGTTTGGGGAAGGGCTTAGTAGTGTGGATGCTGCCCAGGTCTCAGTGGGATGGATAAGTGCTGATGAGAGGATAAGGCGTGGCAGCAGGTGGCTTTGATAGCAAAGCACTTAGAACAAAAGAGCAGGGCAGGGTGACTTTAAGGGGGCAGGCGGGGCTGGAGGCAGGAGAGAGCCCTGCTGGTGAGTCATCTCCCCCTGAGTCTCAGCTCTGAAGAGGCTTCCTTCTCCCCTTGCAGTCACCGTTGGCTCTGGGTCAGCCTATCCTCCCTCCAAACTAGGCCTGCTCTCACCTCATTGCTAGGTAATCAGAACCAACTCACAGCTGATCCTCCGCTGGGTTTCTGAGGCTGCAAATCGCACCGTCTTCCACCAGAGAGGCTGGTAGATTTGGGTTTGCAGTGCAGAGCTTTCTGTAGGCCTGCCTTGGCCTGTCACAGGCTGCCTGTCACTCTCCCTCTCTGTCCTGAGCCCCAGCCCACAGCGGTGCCTCCTGTTTCCTGGTGGGCTAGCCAACTCCCAGCAAGGATCTGGGTTTGATGAGTTCCTTGGAAGGGGTTTTCTGGCTTTGTTCCTCCCACCCACTTCAGACAGAGCTCTGCCAATTCAAAGGTGGTTGTTGTTATGTGCCATCAAGTTGCCTGTGACTCATAACAAGCCTATGTACAACAGCTCTGAAGCCTGCCCTGTCCTGACCCAACCTTATTGTCTCTGACACATCTACCCCTGTTACCCCAGTTACTATGTTAATCCATCTCTTCCAGGCTCTTCCTCTCCTTCAGTGCCCCTCCACCCTTCCAAGCATGATGTCCTTCTCCAAGGACCAGTTCCTCCTGGCCACGTGCCCAAACTATGTGAGAAGGAGCTTCAAAATCTTAGCCTCCAAGGAGAAACTTGGTTTCACCCTCTCCAAGACAGACCTGTTTGTTTTCTTGGCCATCCATGGCGTGTTCAAGACTTCTCCAGCACCACAACTCAAAGGCATTGCTTCTTCTTCTGTCTTCCTTAGTCATTGGATGCATAATAAGTAATTGTGAAGACCATGGCCTTTCAAAGGTAACAAGGTTGAATCTACCAAATGCATCATGGGAGAAAGATGGACAATGTCCTCTCATGTGATTCATAGCCTCTGAAAACCCTCTGGTGGTGGAGTCAGCTATGGAAGGGTTACAACTGGACAGCACATAACAACATTGGCCTTCAGAAGGGCCCCAAATGGTGCCATTGAGAAGCAGGTGAGGAAAAAGTTCCCTCCGAATACTCCCAGCTCCACCTCCCTGCCTCAGTTTCTCCCAGTGGGCACAACAGTGTCCCATCCCAGCTTCAGGCTTGGAGGTCAGGAAAGTGGGTGGGTGGCCATTCCTGCCACCAAGAAAGTAACAACCGTGCTGAACCTACCCCAGCAACATTTTGACAGACTTCTCTACCTCCCCACAAAGTTCTCTGGAGAGAGGAGAACTCCACTAACTCTCGCAAGCTTTACACCCTGCAGGATTTACATCCATTTCACACTGAAGAGAAGCCAGAGTGTGAACCTGGGTTCATCTACCAGCAGGCTGGTGACTTACAGCTTCTAAACCCCTGCCCCAGGCCGCCTGGTCCTGATGGAAGCTGCTCCAGGGCCCCTGGGGGATGCGGCCTCCTGGCGGGCCAGCCTGGCAGTGGCTGCAGAAGCACGGCAGGACTTTGTGCCAGGCGGGCACTACCTCCACCGCCCCGCCTGGCCCCTCCCCGCTCAGGGACAGCCTTTACCTGTGGCGTTGCGGCCACACAGCAGCTGCACTTGCTCCGACTCTGGGACTGAGGAGAGCAGTGCAGGGACCTCGCGTGGCCTCCTGGCTGCCTCGACGTCTCGCAGATCCATTCTCTTTGCGGCTGATCATTAACCCACAGGCGGCATAAAACAGCCAGCAGGGCCAAGACGAGCCCGGACCTGTCGCCATGGACAGCAGCACCTGGATCCCCACACTTTCCACCACCCCTGCGCCCATCCCGTCCCACGAGCGCATCCGAAATGCTGCTGACATCTCTGTCATTGTCATCTACTTCGTGGTGGTGATGGCCGTTGGGCTCTGGGTATGTGGGGGGCCTGGCACGGCGGGCTGAGGGGGGAGGCGATGGGAGGAACAAAGGGGCGCATGGAGAGCAACTGGTTAGTGTCCTGGGAGTTGAACTTTTCTGGGTGCTGTGGAGTTAGAATGAGTGGGGTTTGCGGGAAGTTAAGGAGGTGCAAAGCCAGGAGAAGGGAACCAAGTTAGGCTGAGTGGAAAGAAGTGCCTGGGGGGAGGTGATTGGCCAGAGGATGGCCAGCCGTGTACCTTGAGCAGAGGGGGCGCGGGAGAGGCTGGCAGAGGGTGTGAGGACCAGCACAAGCAGATTGCAGCAACAGGGGATGAGCCCACAGAGGTGACTGTCTTGTGTTGTGGATGAGAAACGTTGTAGAAATTGGAGAGAATCATGTGCTCCCACTGCCTACAGGTGCCTGGGGCAGCTGGTGGAAGTGTGCCCATGGCACGTGCCCTGGAAGGCTGCTTCCCAGTCCTGGTGCTCTGGGGTCCTAGGGGCCAGTGCATTTAAAATGGGGGCCGGCAGGTGGCCTGCACATTTAAAGTGGAGGCCATCAGGGCCAGGGGAAGGAAGGCAGGAGACTGGCCCGGTGCTGGGATAGGGAAGTGCCGGTGGTTCCCCTTTGGAGCTCTGGGGACACGCCAAACCAGAGAAACTTGTTCTCACCTCCCCTGGGCCTTGGAGATGTCACTGTGACGGATTTGGCACACCCAGCCACTAGCCAAGGAGGCGATTTCAAAGTGCGCCCATATTCCAGCCCCTTCCAAAGGCTGGCTGTCAGTTCTTGAGAGTGACAGCCAGGCGGGAGGAGGCTGTGGTGCCACCAGGTGGCTGTGGAGAGAGATTCTTAGAAGAAGGTGGAGCTGGACATTAATCTTTTTGAGATCATAACCCTTATTCCAGGGGTAAAAGGAAGTGTTGGTTTTCTTTTTTTAGGGGGTGTGTGTGTTTGTGTCGATTTTTAAAAAAAATCATACTGTTTTTTTTTTACAAAGTTCATATGCATTGTTTTTCACACCCGATCGTTCCCATTTCCTCCCGCCCCCCATCATATTGTTCCGCCCTATGGTTAATGCCTCCCATCCTCACCCCTCTGCTCCCCCCCACCTTTGGATCCTCATGGTTGTTTTACACTAATGGTCTTGCACAATATTTATCCTTAGAGAGCTGAGTTGGTTCACTTAGCATAATGCTCTCCAGTTCCTCCCAAGTTAGGTAGCTTGTGTTGACTTAAAAAAAAAAAAAAGAATTATAGCCAACAACTATGACTGACACCTTCTAAAAAGCCAAGTAAAGTTAGATGCTTAACTCTTCTCCCTCTGAGCCCTGCTTCCCAGACACAGTGCAAAGTGGCCAGTTAGGAGCCGGAAGACCCTGGTTACACAGGATGTGACTGTATGGTTTGAGGCATTTGATTTGGGGCAACCCCCTCCAGCCTCAGCTTACTTAGGAGTAAAATACGTACAACATTAACCATTTAAATTTTTCTCCTTTTAAAAATGGCTTTGCACACAATCATTCATACATACTGAATTTTGTTCACATACATTGTATGTGTTTTATCACCCATTCCCATCAAATCCTTTTACCCTCTGCTTGTTCCTTCATCCACTAAATTTTGCTGCCCTCGCAGACTTTTTGATCTCCTCTCCCTTTTCCTGTCCCACTTTCTCCTCTTCCCCATCCCTTTTGAACACCTACACATATTCTGTTCCTGTTTGCTGATTGTCATAGCCATATTGACCTTTCTTGAATTCTTCCAGGTTAACCCTCCCTTGTCCTGATCCTTTACCATGTTCATTTTTTTCTGTACTTAACCATTTTCATGACACCTCACTGTTGTAGAGACGAACTTTAGGATTAGCAATGAATGCATCTTCCTTCCTATGGACTATATCACAGAGGTGCCTTGTGAAAAGGAGCATAGGAGAGGAATCGGACAGCTCTTATGCCCCCCCTTCTTGGTCTGGGTACTGATATCGTTTGATGTCAGATGCAAGTTTGGCCTTGAGTAATTTTTGCCCTTTTAAAGAAAATAGACAACAATGGTCAGCCCATCCTCACAAAAAAGCCATGAGACAGGAATAGCAGAAGAGGAAGTTGAAGCTGCATAGCAATGATCTGCTGAAGATTTCCAATCCGTAGAATTGGTTTCTAGTGGGAATCCCTTGACTCCTGGTTTTCCATGTGCTTTCCTACCTGGTCTATCTCTGCCACTTCCATGCCAATGAATTAGTTATGAAGCCAAGAGAAAAGGCCATCATTTGCTGGCTGAGCTACTGTCCGTTTCTGAGGTAATCATCATCAATCTCCATTCTCTTAACCATCTCATTTCAGCCCTGCCAGGCCCACTGATTACAGTGTTTACACTTTTCAAATATCTGTGAATTGGTATCACTTGTCCTGTTAAATGCTCCGTAATGAGCCCATTAGTATTTGTCCACTTTAATCTTCCCTCATTAGTCAGTGCCTCTGGGCCTCTGAACCCTGATCATTCAAACATGTTGGATTTCTTCCAGTTGACATCTCTTTATGCTGTCAAAACATCAAGAGTGACAGGGTTAGGCACGGGCATCCTTACTCTTGCATTGTCTATGGGTTGCGCAGACAGAATGGTCCAGATCCATTCTGCTTCTTCAGTATAGAGACGTGGAGACTAGCAGATGGGTGGGTAGGGAGAAGGAAAAGGCAAGGCACAGTGAAGATTTGATAAGACTTTGTAATAAATGGTATCGATCAATTACGATTAATGTTGTTGTTGTTATGTGCTGTTGAGTTGCCTGTGATTCATAGTGACCCTATATACAACAGCTCAGAACCCTACTCTATCCTGAGCCAAGCTTACTGTCTCTGACACACCTACCCCCCATTACTCCAGTGACTGAGTCAATCCATGAGTCATCCTGGGTATTCCTCTCTTGCACTGTCCCTCCACTCTCCCAAGCATAATGTCCCTCTCCAAAGAATTGGTCCTTCCTTGCAACATGCCTGAAGTATATGACACAGAGCTTCAGAATCCTTGCCTCCAAGGAGCAGCCTTGTTTCACCCAATTTATATTAATGAGTGAATGAAAACCAATTTGAATAAAAGACACAACCAATGTTTGTCTGGTCACTATCCCCATCTCTTAAAATATTATCTGTTTGGTTTTATCCTCTGCCAAACCTGCATTATCCAGTCATATGTAGGCTTGGACATACTGCATCTTGAGTGTATGCTTCCATTTTTCTTTCTCTACATCTTAGTGGGTCCCCCCCTCCCTTTTTTGGAATTTGCCTTAAAGAGAATCTTTGAATTTATTCTTGCTAGTCATAATAATGAAATCCTATCCATATGAACCAAATCTGTTCCACTTTTGTATATAGTCCACAGCCAAGAATTGCTCTTAACACTTTTAAAGGAGCATAAAAGATCATAGTCTGCACGTAGTCCACAAACCCTACAGTATTTACTATCTTGTCATTTACTAAAAATATATACTATAAATTCTTATAGTCATTTGGGCTATATTCCCATTGAATATTCATTCAATGCTTGAGTTGGAATGGCCCCTAGGGAACCCAGCCTCCCCATTTCACAGACTGGGATCAGAGAGGATGACTAGAAGTCACTCAGATGAATTAGTGGTAGAGCTGGGACCAGATCTCAAGTTTTAGGATACCAATGAAGTCCTTTTGGTGGTGAAAATGATTAAACACTTGCCTACTTGCCTAAAAGATTGAGAGTTCAAGTCCTCCCAGTGGTGCCTCAAAAGACAGTCCTAAATACGACGTAAGATCATTATTGTAGAAATAGAAAGATAACTAGTAAATGTGTATGAAGATGTAAGGAGAAGAGGGTAGTAGCAGAGGCCAGGGGGAAATTATAGGGTCGTACAATTTGGTGGGTGGAGGGACTGGGAAAGATCTGGTGGAGATCTGGAAAGACAGGGTAATGGTAAGCATAGTTCAATAGTGATTAATTTTATTAAATATAATGAATGGAAATGATTATATGAAACATCATGTGAATGAAGGATGGTGTGAAACATAATGCATATGAACTTTGTAAGCAAACCAATATAAAATAAAATATTTTGTGAAAAGGACTATTGTTCTAGTCCTGAAAGGTCACAGTTTTGAAAGCCTTAGTGAGCGATTCTCCTCTGTGCATGTGGAGTCCCCATGTGTTAGAATTGACTTGAAGGTAACAAACAATAACATGAAGCTAAAGCCAATACCCTTCCATTATTTTACTTTTCCTCTGCCCACAGGTACTACACTTTCTGAGATGCCCTCTCTGTGGTCCTTGCTGCTATATATATTGACATATGCTGCCATATGCATTGACATTCCGCCATATGCATTGACATTCCTCCATATGCATTGAC